GTAATAGACAGCGAAATGAAGCTGTCACAAATTCAGTGTTAACGTTAGCTTGATGCTGACATTAGCTTGTTTGCAACGCAGCCTGTCGCCGTCACGATGTCATTAATCGCAGTACTTTGGTACTTACCGTTGTTTTAAAGGCCTCAGTGTTCGGTCCACACGGTGTATATCAGTAGATAAATCGCAGCTCCCCGCACATAGCGCAGATAAAAGCGGGTTTTAGACTCAACGGTTCCTTCTACAGTGCTTCTCACTCACAGTCAGCTGATCGAGGTAGTGGATCTGCGCCTGCGCAAAGACTACTGCGCACTAAGCTGCATTTACGTGACCGAAAGGTTCTCGTTAGGTTCAGTGTCTACAAGCAAGGTTATTGAACAAGTATGGTCGGAAACAGAGAAACTGTAAGCGGCTGAATTGAGGTTAAAACGGGGATTTAATGGCTGAAAATAACATAAGAGTTGAAGAAAACATACGCGGTAGACCCCAGTAAGCATGCAGCCAGAGTTAGCCAACAGATGTATCAAGAATGTAGCCTAATTGTAGACTAGAGGGAGTGAGGAAATGTGCTATTATTACGAAACCCTAAGTGTTTTACAGTGTGTTATCTTATTGATTTTTATCAACGTTGTGGAACTTATTTAGGCTACTTATTGCAGATGCATAAAATTTGTTAAAAATGGTTAATCCTTGATTTCCGATTGTACTTAAATGCAACAAGGATGTTTGTCTTTTCAGCCCAGTGGCGTGGATGCGCCTCAATAGTGGCCTCTTCTGGAAAGATGGAACTACTACATTACTGACAGTGACCGCTTTAGTGTGACAGTGAATCCATGTTTATGAACCAACAATTTAATTAGAGGAGACTTATTTAAATGTTTAAGCTTTTCATTTCCCTGACATGACATTTCATTTTTAATCACACATGCAAGCACACATGTTGTCTTTTGTCTTTCAGCACTCAAAACCATGGCAAAAGCCTTTAAAAAAACACATACAATCAGGAGAAGTGGGGTTACCTATGCTACAACATGTTCAAATATCATCAAAATTAGATTAAGAACTACTGATATGATATGGATATAGAGTATTTGCACTGGATATGTTTGTTGATGCCAGTCTCATTTTTAAGAGTTTAAGAGTATGGTAATAAATATAGTACCATAGTATTTGTAATATAAAAGTAAGAATACCCTATGTACAAATAACAGATTCATTAATGGTTGTATTTCCATTGATTGTGATTTAGCGGTCCTGGTATTGTCATTGCTTACTTGGACACTTGAATAGAAAGGAAAAGTTGATACCATTCTTAGAAAGTCCAAGTGTGTTGTCAGCAATAAATATTCTAAAAAACACATGCAGGACGTTTCATACTGGACATGTTTGTACTCCCTGGATGACACACTGAGTTCTAATGTATACAAAAACATATGGTCTGTTTCTTTACAGATTTGTTTTAATCTTTACTTATGTCATATACAGAGAAACTGATCTATCTGCGATGAGCTACATTACACAATCCTTTGTGGAAATGTTTTTATTTTAGCTGTGTGGGAATGCTGGGTGTATAGATAATTGTTTATTTATGCTGTGGTTTGTTTATATCTTTTGCTTCTAGCTGGAAATTGAATTTCCGTCCTGATGACAGTGGAAGCATTTAACTGAACTCAATGGAACTGAAGCGCAAAATCAGATTTACCACTGTCCTCATGGACCCTAAAGTGAACCTTTAAGCATAAACTGTTTTTTTTTTTCCATTTGAATTTAGACTTTGTTTTTGTGAGACATAAAACGAGGAAGTTATTAAAGAATCAGCTTTACACCTATTCAAATATATCAAAGCTTCAACTTTCAGCCGGGTTGATTATAATCGTGTTGTCATCGTCCACAATTCTCTTTTCTGTTAACTCGAACTTTAAAAAAAAGCAAATATTACTTTGTAAAAAAGTATGCCATATCAGAAATGTTAAGATTACAATTCGGTAGTTATATGTTGACAGGATAGTATTTTGTTGCTTTCTTTTACATACACCTAGTTTTAGTTATCTGTCTTTGTGGCTCCATTTTGTGAGTTTTCAGTCAATCAATCGATCAATCAAGCCTATTATAAAGTGCCAATGCATAGCCTAACAAATGTTATTTCAAGACACTTTACAATAGAAGTCCAATTGACTCTTCCACACAGATTTAGATTCCAGTCTAACCTATTTCTTAGGAATGACGAGTGTTTGATTAGCCATTCCTGTAAAGTGTACCTCAGGGTGATTCTCATGAATCTTCAGCATGAATCCAAACATTTGATTCTGTCATTTTGGTCTCTCAACATAGTTAAGAAGGCCAACCTGCAGAGAGCCTTCAAATCAGTTTCAGAGTGCTATTCCTGAGACTTTCGTTAGTGCTTAGAAGCCATCGTTTTCTAGGAAGCGTTGTTTTGTGAACACAGTGTCCCTCTGAGAAACTGTCATAAAACAAAGCTATAGGACAGCCAAACAAGCTACTCAGACCCAGATAAAGGTCATGCCGTATGGTTGCACCAAATCTCCGCTCTACCACAAGTCATACGACTGATGTGGCTGCAGGCTGAGTTTCAGAGTTAAAATGTCATTCAAGCAGGGTGGACTGAACTCCTGACAAACATGCTAAATGAAATGATTTTTAAAAATAAAAAGTCATACCAATAATCTGAACGGCATGAAACATTGAATTATCACAGTTGAAATCGTGCTAAGTGAGTGTGACAAAGGCTTAATGGCTAATCAACAAAATATTCAATAAGCTCTTGAACCTTAATAATCCCCCAGATTCCATGAGACACGAGCAGAAACACTGAATGTCAAAATACACAAACAGAACTTTATATGTTGTCATGTTATGTATCCTATTTTTGTATTATTTTATGTCACGTCATGTTACAATATGTTGTGGTATGTAGAAAGATTCAGCCTCCATTCACAGTTTATGGTTGAGGTCTGCAAGGTTGTGAAAGTTAGAAATAACGTGTAATGACAGAGGTTGTTTTTGTTTTTTTTGCAGGTTGCTTTTGACCCACCAACCTCAACATTTTCCCAAACTGTGCATCTACTCTCAAAACTGTCAGATTATATTACATTTAGATTCATCATCCTTGGGGTGCTAGTTGTCAAGTCGTTAGTTTCCTTACCCCATGTCAGGATCAGAATCAGAATCGGGTTTTATTGCCAGGTACATTTACACATACAAGGAATTTGACTTGGTGTATTGGTGCTAAACAATTAACAAGTAAATGTACAAAGACTAGCAGGCAGCCGTGGTTGGAATCCAACTTGTGGCTTCTTTGCTGCATGTCATTCCTCTCTCTCCCTGATTTACAAATTTATCTGCCCTGTCTAATAAAGGCATAAACAACCCAAAAATACATCTAAGAAAAAAAAGGTTCATCATCATACTGACTTGGGTGAGTGGGGTCCTTATATCAGAGATAAAACATCTCTTGCCAGCTTATGACATCAAACAAGGCCAATGGTCTCTTTGCAATTCTCAGACAAACTTTCAAAAGAAGATGAAACAAGAAAACGCTGAAATATCTACAGGTCACCTTTGAATCTCAAGGCAGGTTCAGCCTGTATTGCATAAGTCATGTTATCTCCTCCAACTTAACTCATTCCAACCTTACCTTACCTCACCCAGTATTAGACCAATATTCAGTGTCTAGTATTTAAAGCTTTATTATGCCCTGCGTGTGATGTCCTTTAGATTCATTGTCCCTAAATGTAATACACACACACTTGAATCCAAAAGTGGCATTACACAGGACTATTCAGAAAATATGGTGTGTAATCGTTTGTTCAAAGTAAGCTATTTAGCTGTTTTAGAAATGCTCTTTAAACAGGGGCTATTTGATTAACACTGGCCTGGATGCACAAATAACCCAATAGTTCTCCTAAAGACAGGAGTACAAAATTGGGTCAATAATGCAGGAAGATCAAGGACTCAATGAAGGATCAAGAACTCAATGAAGTGTTACCTTAGGGTTGACTAAGACAGAGCAGGCCAGTGCCCATGAAATAATAATTATGGTGAAGTTTATAAAACTATATAAATTTTTTATTTTTTATCTAAATCAAGTAACGCCAAATGAGCCTTTACTAGACAATATCCTCAAGTTTATTTTTGATTATATCTCATATTCTTTAAACCCTCAACGTGAAGACTGGGGGCCAGCTCTCATTAGTGCACATGTTCTAGAGTTGCTCAAGATAAAAAAACAAAACAAATGAAGCAACATTTACTACATCTTATAAAGAACAGAGAACTGCCCTACAGACATTGTATATATATACATATATAACCATATATATTGTACAAGTCTATTTTTAATTGCACAGTTTAAGTGTGATTCATCTAGGGGTATTCTTTAAATCTTTCTTTAAAACATTTTAAATAATTTTTTTCGGGTTAATATATATGTATGGGGGGGGGGGGCGCGTCGGTTTTGTGGTTTAATTTGTAACAAATACTCAACAAGAAAAGAGAGAAAATCAAATTCTCTGTGAATTAATAAGATACATTTAATTATGGCCCTACACATTTTTTTTTAATTTTTTAATTTTTCTCATTTACAACAGTCAAATTCTTTAAACAAATATTATTTTGTATTTGTTTGAAATGTGTTTTAGATTAACAATATAGGCCTAACTATTGATTTCCCCCCCTCTCTTTAGCTGGAAGTGAGCCGTGTGTAAGTGTTTTTCTTGCCTCGTAATTGAGAGCAGCTGAAGTTGTACAAGTGTATCTGAATTATGTCATGTAAACAATCCCCGTGGAGGTCTTGAACAGGTTGACTGAAACGAGAGGCCATCTACGGAAAGTTTGTGGTTATGTAACGTCAGAACTTCAGTAGCCTGTGTGATATTCGGAAACGCATATTTGGTATGTTCTCAAAATGCGAAGAGCTCATTGGTGGAACTGAGCATTAGGTCCCACCCCCAAGGACCGTGGATTACCTTTTCCACTTCCCCTGCTCGGCTCCAGTAGTTCTCCACCCATCGGCCGACAGAGACGACGCAGTTCAACCAACACTCGTCCTTCATCTAACCATATGGCAACATCAGCCTTCTTTCTTTCTTTTATCGTTGTGCCCACTACTCTTTAAAAATTCCGCCGAAAAAGAGAAGACGATTTTCCCAAACATTCTGGCCGTTTTCTCACGTAAGTAAAGCACTTGGTTTGAGTTGGATCCAGCAGACGGATGTAACATGGCGGGCTGCTCTTTCTGCCTTCTTGCCGCACATGACAGACCGATTCATTGAGTTCTGTTTTTGACTAATCTTATGGTAAATTTAAAGAGGTGTTACCGAAGATGTGTCCCTGTCTCATTCTAGTGGTTATTTGTGTGTTGTATCAGTGCTGGTGGTTTGTTATGCTTTATTAACTAAATGCAGCTTCTTCCTCCGACGTGCTGTCGGCTCCAGCTCTCGCGTTAGCAGCGTGATTCCTCGCAATGGCGTTCACGGTGCTGGATGTGTCTGTGTTTTAATTTTAACGTGTTAATCTGTAATCTTAAAATACATTTGTGTCGTTAGGCTTTGGTGTTTTGTTTTGGTGACGCAGTGTGGTAATATTTTATCTTGTCAATGAGTCAACTGTAATGACAATTCTGTTAAATATACACATGTCCCACCATGGAAACTCATAAGTGGTTTAAAAATAGGAAGCTGAGATAATGACTTTTTTTGAATAATGCGTTGATGTTTGTTGGGTTAAAAAATTAAGCCACGTGATTGTGAAGTGCCGCGAGAGTTTCTTTAACATATCGATTTGTGTCTGTTAAATTTTGACCAGTGACAGATGTGTTAAAACAGAGATTATAGAGGTCAACTTTGTAATAACAAGATAGTTGAATGACTGACAGGCCTTGCCACGGATTTTGAATTCATGTGACTCTCTGCTTGTGATCGACTAATGCTGCCTGTACTGTTCTTCTTTTCATGTTGTAATCTTATGTTGTGAATGTTTGTGTTCCCCAGGGCTCCCCTGTCTCTGCACAGGTGTATGAGCGCTCTCCAGAGGGCCTAGGGGCGGCTCTTTACCGGGAGCACTTTGACTTCAACGCTGAGCCGCCTTGGGATCCTAGCTGATAGCGGGACAGGTCCATCTCCTGACTTGTCCATGTGAGTGACTCAGAGTTTTTTGTACGCACACACACACACACAAAAAAAAAAAAAAAAGCATGCTGGATTACGCATACACCTGTGGCAAAGTCCAAGATTGTTGTGTTCTTATAATTTATATTTAGCTCAAGGAGATTAGACTCTGGCTTGTGTTGGATTTTAAATGTTTTGATTTCATTGTTAAACTATGTTTAAGATAAGATATACTATTCATCCCAGCAGGGAAATGTAGGTGTTTCAGCATACATACACTGAATACATATATACATGCATATCCCACCCAAACGAAAAACATGAGCCCACAATACTTAGCCAGGATAAAAAAAAGTGGTATGGATGGTCCATGTGCGTAAGTAGCTGTTACTCATAGATAACGGTACAAAATACTAGCTCTAGTTTATTTTTTAATGGTTTATTTTTGGGGTAAGTTGACATATTTATGTTTAGTACAATAAAGTGATAGGCTTCTTATCCTCATTTTGTTATGTTAACAAATACAAAATGATGTGTCAACGGAAATGTGTGTTTGTCAAAGCTCAACAGCCCTTTTCTTGTAAATACATTTGCTGGGTTGAATTGCTGTGTAACAAGCAAATCTTTGTAGTAATGATGTTTATGGTTTTTATTTGTTCCAGTTTGTTGCATACCGGCAGGACCCATTGGCTCAGTCGTGACCCTTGACTTGATTATCCGATCTTTATGATTGTCGGCTTAGCGGAATACGGTTGAGATGAAAGGAATCGCTGACAAACCTAGCTTCATCATTGAACTCCTGGAGGGAGGAGTGACCCTTGAAGATGTTATTGACGGACACATCTGCCAACAGACTCTGGTCAGTTCTGCTTCCCATGCCTTAAGTAGTCTCAGTTAGCAGCTAAGAAAAAATCCCCAAATGCTTCAGATGTCTGTAATTACCCCTGTTATCAGCCCATTAATCCATTTAATCAATTGGCTTGCTCTTGTTAATTTTTAAGACAGTTCTTGATATCAATATAGACATTAGAAATAATCCAGGATTTGATGGCTACATCTGTACGTGGAGATGATTTTTGTACTTAGTTCAGCCTCTTGTGTTTTCAGGTGGAGAAAAGTGCGTTTGTGGTGGGGGACCTTGGTGCCCTGATGCAGCAGCATGTGTGTTGGCAGAGTGTGGTGCCACAGCTGCAGCCCTACTACCCAGTCAAATGCAACAGCAGCCCTGCTATCATCGAGGTGCTGGCCTCCTTGGGCCTGGGCTTTGTTTGCACTAACAAGGTACACTTTAAACTTCACAGAACCAGCTTTACCTAGCTTTGTTCTATTTACAAAACGGCTTAGTGACATGTCCTCTTGGAATGCACTTGACATTTTGGGAGCAATTCCATTAAAAGCACTTATTTGATTAATAGTAAGCTGATGACTATTATCCTTTCAAATTATGAAAAACACCTGGTGCCAGTTTGATTGGGCGTTTAGACTGTGTTGTTATGAATTATGTAACGTGTGTGTCCTCTTTCCCACAGGCTGAGGTTAGCTTGGTGCTGGAGCACGGAGTATCACCAGACAACATCATTCTGTCAGGTGTTTGCAAGCAGGTGGCACACATCAAGCACGCTGCCAAAAATAACATCCAGCATCTTGTGTGCGAAAATGAGGCAGAGTTGTCCAAAATTTCCCGCCTGCACCCAAATGCAAAGTGAGTGTAGCAACTTAGCAAACATGATCTATCACATACTTTTCATTCCTGGTGCACTAGTTGAAACCTGAAGACTGTTTCAATGCAGTTCTTGTTTTGATGCAGAAGTACGCCCTTCTTCGATTTGGGGTGAAAATAAACTTTGTCAAAGAGAAGTGTTTGTTTCGTGTTTTGAGAACCTGGCTGATATTTGGATTTGTTTGTAGGTTGCTGCTGCAATTGAGCACCAAGGCCCACGCAGCTGAGACCAGCATGACCTTCGGTTTCTCTCTGAAAAGTTGTCGACACCTGCTGGAAGCAGCCAAGGAAATGGGGGTCCAAGTGGTTGGGGTTACTTTCAACATCCCCAGCTCCTGCCAAGACCTGCAGGAGGCCTACACACACGCGCTGTCAGACGCCCGCTGTGTGTTTGACATGGGGGTGAGTGTTATCTGGAAACTGTCTTTGAATTAGTTAAAATTGAATGCAAGTCAACTCTTAAGATTATTTGAGGCTAAAAACTGATTTTTTTTTTTTTTGTTGTTGCTTGTTTTCAGGCTGACCTGGGCTTCAACATGAACATCCTGGACATTGGAGGTGGATTTACTGGCTCAGAGTTTCAGCTTAAACAGGTGAACAGCTGCTGTATGATGAAGGACTTTAGAGCTGATTTTATTACTAGCAGTAGCTGGCCTATCTTCTAACAGCCGAAATCTTGCACGAGTTTCCTATCACTCCTAACATATAAAAGCTGAAGGTCATCTCTAAAATAATATAGCGGTAATGTGGAGTTTAGATTTTTTCATTTGGAATGTCCCTCTGACTGTGTCTTGGTGTGTTTTCAGGTTGAGTCTGCAGTCAGGCCGTTGCTGGATGCGTACTTCAGCCCTCTGTCTGGTGTTCATGTGTTGGCCCAGCCCGGCACCTTCTACGTGGCCTCAGCATTCAACTTGGCTGTTAATGTGATCGGCAAAAAGGTGGCGACCCCCCAATGGGATAATCTTCCTCAAAGTGAGTGACTTAATTCCTTCATGAGTTCTTTTTGTCTTCAGTAGATCAGTTAATATATCTCTAATACCATGAATAAGTGCATATCATTATATTCAGTCTGTGAAAATGCAGAAGAATTTGTCTTCACAATTCTTTTTTTTGTACAAGAGTATTACATAATAAAACAAACCTATCAGATCAAATCTCAGTTTTAGATAATACAGCATGTTCTGTATATCTGACATGATTTCCCTCTGTATTGACTTTACACAGGCGAGAACAATGAAGATACAGAGTTCCTGTACTACATGAATGAGGGTGTTTATGGCCCATTCAGCCGCAAGCTACTGGGAAACACCATCACTGCCCCGTCTGTACACAAGGTTAGTAGGTCTCCACCCAAGGGAGTCAGCCCTATTCATGACTGAAAGAAGCATCTGATGGCAGCTCTTCACATGTGATAACAGGGGTCATGCATCGGGAGTATTTAGGTAGTAACTCATATTGCCCCATATGAAGACCCCACAATAAAGGATATCTAATCATAGTTTTCCCTGAGGTAGGGACAGTCAGAAAATATAAAGCAGACCCACAAATTGCTTCAGTTAGTGATGCAAAAGTTGGATCTTGGCACTACAGGTGTAGGTGGTATCCTTATGTCAATACATTGCTAGCAGCTAACTAAGTTTAGGTAGCTAGTTGGCTAAAACAAAAAGATATTTGTAAGCCACCACAGGACTACAGTTACAAGTGATGTTTCATCAGTTCTTTCCAAAGGTATCTCCCCTCAGTTGTAGACTTAAATCCTGTAGATAATGATCTCTCTTATTTTGAATGTTAAATGCCATTTTTAAACACACTCTTCCTCTCTGCAGCGCGTGTTGTGTGCTGAGGAGGCAGTGTTTCCCAGCAGCCTGTGGGGCCCATCACTGGACCAGCTCGACTGTGTGGTGGAGCACTGCCTGCTGCCTGAGCTCAGCGTGGGGGACTGGCTTCTCTTCTCTAACATGGGGGCGTGCAGCCTGGAGGAGTTAAGCTCCTCCCAGCTGCCCATCTATTACACTGTCTCCACCTGTGACTGGTGAGTTAGCATGTGAAAGTGTACCATTTGAGCGGATGTTGTAAGATAGAAGACTACAAAGAGAACTGTTCCTGATGCCTGTTGTCGTCCACAGGTACGTAATGCAGGAGGCCGGTGTGGCTCTGGACAGTGTCATGAAGAATTTCTCCATGGTACAGTTCGGTGCGTAACCATCCTCTGCTCCTGTCCCATATTGTATTAAACGGATCCTCCTCGGCTTCGGCTCTCGCCATGTGAGAAGAGGGGTCAGTGTGGTTTTTGGGACAGGGGGCTAAATGTGGTCAACATTCCAGCCACCTTGGAAAACGCAGTGTGTCTGATTAAATCTTCCAGGAATTTGACTTTTTTACCTCTCCAAATTGTTTCAAAATAGTTATTGAATACCTCATTGGTCTATAATCTAATCTGGAAGATAATCTTCTTGATTTTGCTCCTCCCTCCAATGGATATTTGTCAGCTTAAAGAACTCTAGCCCAAGCTCAAATGACATTATGCAACAAAATGGACGACTCGATGGAGATGGGATCCCTCAACGTGTTTGAGGGGTTTTTGTTTCCTAAATCAAATCCACTTTACAAAATGTACAACTGATTCAAATCATGTTCTCTATTGATTACCTGTTGACAGTCGTGTAAATCATGTGTCTGATCAACTCACATTTCATTTGACTGAAGATGATTTTTGAACTGAATTAATGCTTCATGTGGATTCTGTACTTCAGACCCTTCACTTTGCATAGTTTAAACAAAAGTTAAGATAATGATGTAACCTCTTCCTTTAATTGCATCTCACCTCAATGCATTTTTATTTATTGGATTCAGATATAACTGGGGCATATTCAAAGCTCCATCTTTAAGTGTGTTTTGCCCAGGTGTTAAGCTGTGTCTAACAGTGTTTTTCTGATAAGATATTGATGTGTTTTTTAACGCTACATGGATATAAAGTGTGCTGTGATCTCCATTTGTGACCTCAGTGGTTTCCCTTTACTCAAAAGGCATGTTACACCCTGATGCACTCCTTGCCTCTAATAGAGAGCGGTCAATCTGTTTTCAAATGCACAAAATCTTTTGTAGGTTAAGAAAATACTGTAATATTTAACAATGCAGCCCTGTTTTTTCAGATCTCCACATTACTCTGTTTGAAAAGGGGATTCATCCCTTTTCCGAGATCTGAAAAACCAGAGAAGAAGTGATTTTTGGAGAGTGCTCAAACATGAATGAACTTTATGTGGTTGATGTGGATGTCCCTGTCTGCGTCTCTCAAGTGAAAGACCTGCTAGTTGTACACAGACCTCTCTTGGGCAGTGCAAACAGAAAGCCAGACCTTTCCTCATGCCTCTTTGAAGTAACGGGGGAAATAATGCACAGTCTCATGTACAGCTTAATGTCTCATGTTTAATATTATTAAAGGTGACCTGACTTAACTGCAGTTTTTGAAGAATCCTGCCCTTGTGTGTTACAATTGAATAATGTATTGATTACTTGCTCGTCTAAGGCACTAATGGACCATAGCCTGTTTTTGACTGTAAATTGTGCTTGTTAAAGTGATGAAAGTGATTAATTTAATACATTTCTGACTTAAATCATGCATCTTGTCTGTGTCATCATTGGAGGTGTGTTCTTGATAGTTTTATAAATGTCAGCCAACAAATCAAAGCCATATGCTTCTGATCGGCTTTGGAGTTTTGCCAAGCGAGTGTTTTTATTTGTACATCAGTTCAGTGTCCTGAAAAGAAGCGAGGGCTTCATATGCAGGCAGGACTGAGAACTTCTCTGCTGTTGATGTATTCAAAAGTAAATCATTAACCACAAGAACATCTACATTATGGAGTCATTCAAATTAGGTGAATCATCTTTACCTACACTCAACACACAAATGAATAAGAAGTTGTACCAAGAACATTTTCTGTTTCAGCTTAAATGGCTGTACATTTTCTCATGGCTTCTGATTCTATACTCTTTGTTTAAAACCACAGTATTTGTAGGGATGCTATTGTATCCCAAAAAGTAAAAATTTGAAGTTTAGATAAATAGTAAAATGGCAGAGATATTAAACCAAATCTGTGGCCAGAATTCAGCATTTAAACAATGAGACTGGCTGCATTGATTGTTCCATTCTTGAACGCATTGATGACAAAAACAAAAGAAATACTTCTGTTGCTTCCTGTAAAAAAGATCCACATGTAAAGTTTGTCATCTCCACCTCTTGCCCCTCTTAACTTATTTGATCTATTTTAATGTCCAATCCCTTTTCAGACATAACAGCACACGTAACAAGGCGATCACTAGGATACAACTAGGATATAAAACTAGTTTTCTATTAATATACAAGATAGCCTGAGCTGTTGTTCCCTCTAATCCTCAACTAGTTACGATCCAAAGGTCAGAAGAATGTGGGAATGCATAATGAAGTTGTTTTCTTCCTTCAGAGATGACTGCCTCAAAATAAATGACACCCCCCTCCCCCTCCCCCCTAACAGATTTATGTTGTATGTGAGAGTGGATGCCAACTCGAGGGAAATCTGTCTCTAGGAGGAGCCATTATGGCTCACGTTGAGTTTAGGGTTTAAGTGTTTGTTAGGGATGACTTGTATATGTGAGACAATATGACTAAGGAAATAGTAAAATAATGGATGTCACCATGTCAATGGGTGAAATGAATTGTTGTTATGATGATGACAGTAAAAATATAGAGAACATTTGAGTCTGCCAGGAGCAATGCTCCCACTCCTGCACATCTCAACACATCAGAGTAGTATAGTAACAAAAAAGACCTACATGGTAACAACATAAAGGGCATAGACAGATGCATGTGTTGCTCTTTGGGATCACATTCATTTTCAGTAAGACTGTACATAACTGAACTGTAAGTGGTTGATTCTGATAGGTTTGATTAATTAATGTTATTTTGAATAGAGGGAATCTCTCAGATGTCTGATGAGAGCAGTTGCTCTTGAAACATATTTTGTAAGTGATAACTTTACAGTTTCAGGTCAGAACCAGCCCAACGTGTCTGTGATGTGAATAATTACTCCTCTTTAGTGCATAGGAATATAACTGTGTCTAAGGGTTTTCTTCTGTTTACCAAAGGAAGTACATGATAATGGCATGCTTTGTATTTGCAGATGGCTCAACAGTCAATTGGATCTCGTTCATCAATCTTTTTTTTAATTTTTTTATTATCTTTCATCATTAAAATATAACTTTTATTATATTTAAACATAATCTGTCATCAGTCTTGCATCAAAGTTAGAATTTGACAGAAGGGGCAAACTGTGATGGATAATTACTGCGTAAATCTGGTGTAGACTAAAGTATGGTCTGAACCACTGGAGTCACAGTACAGGTAGAGCTAACAAACGATTCAGTCGTCAAAATGGCTTAAGATTGGTAACGTGAGAAATTTTAGGTCAAAAGTACAAAGAAGGACATTTAGATAAAGTATCGCTACCTTGTACGTTTAAAAGACAAAATGAGCAGTTATGGGCCGTAATTTGAACAGGTGGCTCGGGTTTTGCTCACTTAGAGGAAGAGTGGACACGTTTGTCGCTAAGAAAGTTGAATGCGAAATGTTTAACCTGGAAAAATATTCGAATATTCGACTTTCAAAACTAGGCATCACTTAACATTAAAATTTGTCAAAAAAAGGTTAGTTATCGATATACATAACTTTGGAAAAGTAGCTAGCTATTTTTCCTTTTTTTGTTATTGGTCAACATTAAACAAATTGTAACTTTAAAATATGCTAGCTAAAACATCTGTAGGCTAAGAATTTACCTTCATCTCCCATCAAAATGGTGGTCCATTTCAATTGGATGTGAAAAGTAGCATGATATGACATCACACTCTAAGGACCACCCATTTAGCTCATTTTCTCGAAGGCTTATTGGTTAGCCTTAGTACTGTACCACGTGACTGACACTGTAGCCACGCCCCCATGCCTAGCTATTTGTTGTTTGGAACAAGTGTCCAATTAACAAGTCAGTAAACACGTGAAATTCAAAGAGATAGTGATGAAAGTGATCACCTCAAGCTGTGAAACTACAAGTTTGAGTGTTTGTGAAAGAACAGACAGTGATTTAGTTTTGGGACTGAGAACTCTCCTATTGGTCAGTTTGTCCTGTATGCAAATGAGGGCTGCTACGTCAGATCCTGAACCTGTGCGCCATTTTTTCCTCAATAGGGGAAGAAAGGGACAAAAGCTAGACCAAAATTAACTTATCTTTACAAACCCCACCTTTCACATAAGACTTCACCCTTCATACCTCGGTGTGTGTAGACAGATGCAGCTGCTCGGATGAGCCTCTGCGTGCAGCCCCAGTAGCACACGCAGCTTACGGACACGCACAGTTGAGGGCCGGCGGAAGTGGAAAACGGTAGCCCTGTTGGAGGAGGCACAGCGACTACTAACGTTAACCTACGCCGAAAGATTGGACGAGGTAAATATCGTAGAGGAGGCTGTGGGCATCGTCAAGTGGGAAGACGCAGCATGGTTTAGTGACACGGCTCGTCGTTGTCGGCGTGCTGCCAGGATCTGTAAAAAGACTCCACTCACACAAACACACACTGAAGTGTTAGCATGGGGTAGCAGCAGTGTGAAATGACAGGTTGTTCATCTGTAGACATTTAACATCAGAATGCACACTGTGGACCCGCCGGAGGAATATTGTTTTCTGACACATCTGGAAAAAGTCAAATCATTATTTATACAGTTGTGCAGAGTGAGATCAGCTGTTGCATAGAAGCATAACATCGCATTGCCTGTGCAGACATAATATTCATCATGTGCAGCCATGCTGTTGTTTTCTTTCAGAGTTTACTACTTTATAACCTCATAATTACGATCATTCAATCTCGGTAAGTTTTGTGTTGCCAGCAGTTTAACGTGATATAATGGCAAACCTTATAATCTTAACACTTAGTAACTTACTTTAATAACAGAATGACCTGATGGGCTCATGTGTACTGGTCTGTTTGTCTTTACATTGAACACATCATCTGAGTTTGTGTCTGTAGTAGTGCATGCCTTTTACTGTTCTTCCATTATGCAGTAGAAAATTGTGGTCGCTTTGTTGGCCATGGCCAGGAAATATGTCAACAACATCGTGATATATATATTATATATAATATAATAATAGACATATTATTCATAGGGCTGCAAATAACGATTTTATTTAACCAGTTTGCCATTAAGTTCATATATATGTCAAAAGGAATTTATAGAAAATGTATAGAAAGCCAAATGTGATGTCTGAAGTTTGCACCTTTTTTTTTCCCAGTTAACAAAGCATCTTCATTTACCATCAAACATAACAAAAAACAGTTTGAAAAAGCTTTTAAACAGGGCGTAAAAGATAAATAGATTATCAAAAGAGTTGATTAATCGTTGTAACCCTGTTTAACTGATGCATTATTACAATTGTATACTCCCAACTTATGAGAAATAAACACTTGTTTTCTTTTGCAAGGCCTGTAAAAAACAATGTATCAGCTTCCAGTTGGAAATATTGAGAAGATCCGAAAGGCAAGGAAGGCCGTGAAAAACATCCTGACTGAGATAGGACTTGAAGACTGCCAAAACCTGCTGAAGGTATGTGTACTGTGTATATTCGAAGATTCTTTCTTAAAGTTGCAATATTATCATCAGATTTCATTTGTTTAATCTTTAATCATGCATGTCTTACACTGACCAACATAATACCCCAGTATCTGGCCCAGTGCAGATTATTGGTGCTGTTTGTTCTTACTAGCGGTGGGTGTCACCAGAGGCCCCGCAATACGATATTATCACGATACTTGAGTCCTGATCCGATATTATTGCGAGTTTAAACATTTTGCGATATGCTAATAACTGCAATACAATATATTGCATTAACTAATGATAATAACTAATAACTTTTTTAACTGTAGTTTAATTGCAGTAATTATTAACGATGCGACTTGTTCAAAATGAATTGTGCAACCCCTTCAGCAATTTAAAAAAAACAAAAAACAAAATTTTTATACTAATATAATAAAGTATCCATACTTGGCGGCCATGAGATGATATAATATCGCCATGCAAAATATTGCGATACTATGCTGTATCGATCTTTTCCTCTAGTTCTCACATCCGGTGTCAAAGCCTGCTGCCAATACTTAACGCTGTCTATGAGAAAGTCCCTCCCTAACTTATAGTGAAGTTGCAGAATGTTTTGTTGTTGATGTTGCTTATAGTTCAGTTCATCCATTAAAATGCTAAATGCATGTTTTTTTCTTAGGGTTTTGCTTATAGTAAAACAAAGTATAACAGTATAGAAAACATGGCTCATCTGCATTAGGCCTACAGTTTGTAAGACAATTAACAACAAGGTATTTAAAAAAGGAAAGTTATGCTGACTTTGCTGAATATACAACATTCATACTCATCTGTTCAACATTAAACATTAAACATTCAATCCATTAATACATTGGCAAACAAACTCCACACTAAGTGCAGCAACAGCCTCCCAGTTGAAATAGTTTCTAGATAAATTAACATTGGATCAGATTTAAATTGATGTAGTCAGTCACACATAGATTTCTTTCTTGGGTTGTTATGGCAACAAGTGGGATTGGATGGTCTGATGTTGTGTCTACTGTTTGTGGTATTGTTTATTTCTTACATGGATATGCTGACCCATCTTTCCTTGTCAGATATTTTGAAGTATTTAGATATTCATATTTGAATATTTGTCATTATTTTTATGTTTATTATATTTGATCCGAACCTCCTCCCAAAACAACACGTCAGTAAACTGATAGAAAACCAGCCAATAACTCTAAAACCTCATGAAACTGGTCTGGATGGGTTTTTATTGACATGCAGACATTTTACTCTTGTGATATATGACATCATAACAACTCAGATATTAACAGTGTTTGTTGTTTCTCCTCAACATTTATCTGATTGCTCTAAGTGCTAAATATTGTTTTATACAAGCATCATATTGTACATCATGTGACTCCACCTACAAGTAATGAAGTTGAATACAATCTCAATCAATAGCATGAGGATTTTGTTAAAAATGTACTTGAAAGTTGGCATGTAACTTCAAGGTGATTTCAGAAGACAATTTAGCTTTCTTTTAATTTCTATTCTTATTCTCAAAAATCATTCGGCAGAACTTTATTTGTGTCATCGGAATCCTTCATTATTCTTTCTTTTTTTGTGTGTGTGTGTTTACTTTGCAGGATCTAAATGAAAGCTCGGAGAAAAACTCAGATGAAGGTGACATCTTTCAGGAAACTGAGTGGGTTGATTTCACTGATGGATACAATGGCAGACTATATAAGAAGGTCAGTGTTCCTATAATAAACACCTTCTACTGAAAAGATTATTTCCAAGTTTGAGGTTTTTTTTTAATTTTTTAAATGATTTAAAATGTTAATGAACTTTTAGTTAACAAATGTCTACCTTGTGGTATAAGTTTCAGATACAGTAAGGTTTCAGATGTGTAGGTTAGCATGACTGTAACATCTGTACTGACTGTGCAAAAGAACATTGTTTATTGATATAAACTGAAATAACCGGCTGTTTCTGTTTCTTTCCATTTAGTGGCCTTATCGGTCGCGATCTTTGTGCTGTAACCTGTGCAAGTACTCCACTAAAAACATCTACAACTTCAGGACCCACGTCACTCGCTGTCATAAATATGTACAGTCCTTCTGTTCGCTCGCACCCTGTTCTCAGTGCCTCTTCATTAGCCACCCTAAGGTGGTCAAGAAGCACATGATGTTCTTTCACACCAAACTAGCCAATCATGTACAACCAGCAAGGGAAGGACCTGCACTCAACCACCGTGGGAATGAGAGGTATCAATGCAGAAAATGTGGATTTCCAGCCTCTTCCATCTTCATGTTGAAGAAACACATCATCCTCAAGCACCTGGAGAGAATGGCAGAACAGTTTATCGGTTACAGATTACACCTTCAAGGCACCACATCTATAAAGATCCACTGCTGCAAGGTGTGTAGGGTGAACACTGGGACCCTTGACCAAATGTTGCATCACATGCTGGTGGAGCCATCGCACTATGCAGTGAGCACACAAGTACAGAGCTTAATTTTTGAGAACAAGAACTATACCATGAAATCAACTCCGAACGGGAATGGGTTGTTTGTGACTTTCCCAAGTATCGCTCCTAAGCCGCAAACAACTCAAATGTTCAACAGTAAGTCTTTGGTGCTGCCAAGTAACGGCCAACCTGCTGGGACTGTGGTAACGTTACAGCAACTAACAGGGAGTACAAACAGTACGACTCTGATCTGTGCCCCTGGGACCAACCAAGCTTTCTTACCCCCCCAGGCATCAGCGCTGGTGCAGCTAGCTAGTGCTGAGGCTAAAGGTTTGCTCCAGCCTGGTGCCACGATCGCCCTCAGAAGTGCTTTGCCCCAAGGGCCATCAATGGTCCAGCTTCCAACAGTGTCTAACGTGTCTCTCAAACAGGCATCAATGGCTCTGGCTCCTCCTTCTTCTCAAGCACAACAGGCTCCACAAGCACAGCAAATCCTTCTCCAAACTGGAATGCAGGCCAGCTTAACAAGTGGACCAGTATCGAAACCAGGTATGGTCACACAAAATGTATCAACCAACCAAATCACCCTACAAGGTACCATGTTGACTTCACAGTCTCTGTTGAGTCACCTGATCCCGACCGGCAACAGAATGAACGGCATGCCCACATACACTTTTGCTCCGCTGCAGGTAGCAGTGCCAGGAAATCAGAATACAAATACCCCTCTCAAGCCGATCGAGCAGACAAGTAACTCCTCACCACAAACCAAGAAATGGATTACCTGTCCACTTTGCAATGAACTTTTCCCCTCCAATGTCTTTGATATCCACACAGAAGTGGCTCACCAGACAAAATCCACCTCAGCCAAGTCAGAGAGTGTGGCGGCAAGAGCAGCCTTCTTAAAGAAAATGCCAGACAAAACTGTCAAATGTCTCACGTGCAAAATTCTACTATCAGAAAAAAGTGTCTTCCAACATCTACTCCATGGCCTGAATTGTTTGTACTGCTCGGCTTTGTTCTTTTCAATCAGACAGCTCGCTGAGCATGTTAAGATACACAATCCCTCGAGCAAGGCATACTGTGATTTCCTGAGACAGAAGTACAGGGTCTACACAAAGGGCTCTGGAATCCTGTTTCCTTACTTTGACGTCAACACAACCGCACCCAAAGAAGTTCTCGGAGACGTCGAGGTAAATCTCGCCCTGGTCACGAATTCACTCGACCTCATCTTCTTTAAGTTGCAGCCCACCAGTCAGCCAGAAATATGTCCAGCGCCCTTGAAAATAAACAGCACGTACTGTCCCTTCTGTGATGAAAAGTTTCAGAGCGAGTCCCAACACCTGCAGCACCTGAAAGAAAAACATTTTGTGGCACCTACCATTCATGCCATACTCAAGACAGAGGCTTTCAAGTGCATATACTGCAACGGTGTGTACACAGGAAAGGTCACCCAGCAGGCCGTGATGCTCCACATTCAGCGATGCCGCTGTTCACCAAAGCAACCACAGCCACAACTCCCCAAGGCAGCACCGGCACAACCCCAGCCACCGCCAAAACTAGTTCAGCAGCTCAGCCAGCCTTCCGGACTCTACTTTCTCCAAGTGCCACAAGGAATGACAGTGAAACAAGCTCTGGCTCCAGCGCGAGTGATTCCACCGGTGCTCGCTGCCAGGCCTGCAGAGTCAGCAGCAGAGATTCAGTCCAAGCAAAGGCTGGAGGCCGCGTTGAAGGAGGTCATCCAGGCTAATAAACGAGAGAGGGAGGAAAGGGCAGCCATGCGTAGGAAGCGAGAGCAGCAGAGGTTATTGCCCCCACCAGAGCCTGTGATTCACGTCGACCCCACAGTCAAGCTAGCGTTGGAGCCAACACCAGTGGAGCGCCGCAGCAGCGAGGAGCGCAGAGATTTCATATCCAAATACTTCAACACAAACCCTTACGCCAACAAAGCCGAGTCTGATGAGCTGTGCAAGAGGCTGTCAGTCACAAAAGCCGAGCTGGCAGCTCTCTTCAGCAAGAAGCGCAGCAAGTGCATGAAGAGTCTCAAGAGCAACTCGGCGGCCATTCTCCTCGGATTCAACATGAAAGAACTGAACAAAGTCAAGCACAACCTCCTCGTTCCAGAGCCACCTACAGCAGATACTATAGAGCTTGCAGATGCAACGGAGTCGATGGAAAAGAGTGAAGATGGACCAGAAGCTATGGATGACAGTGGAAATGTTAAGGTTTCAGGCGGGGAACAGGTGGAGCAGATGGAATGTGTTTAGAAGATGGAAATGACCTGAAAACGGCAAATAATGCAAATGCTGCTATCCCTAATTTAAAACAGAATAAAACTCTGATACTTTAATGACGGCCTCTTGTGTTGATAGTTAATAGAGAAGTTCATTATGCAGTGTACACAGTGTATTCCCCAGCATACAGTTACCTGAAAGTGAGGGCAGTTTGTTAATGTAGCCTCCATTAATAGTGCTTTTCTTTTTCAGTACGCTGTTGGTGGTTCATATTCTAATTTTCACATTTATACAAAGCCACGTTACAATGCTCTTTAAGACAAAATAATCAAAAACAGATTTGTTGTCTGTAAGATATTATGGTGTCAGTAGTATTTAGCTGGTTACAATCCCTCATATTTTAATCATACTGACTTCAACTAAAGCACTGATTCACTCCTGTTAAAGCCTTCCTTTTTTGCCCCCTTTATTTAAGCCCCTTTGGAAAAGAAAAGTGATTTGGTACATCATCGCTTGTCTGCTGATATCCAGATTTACTTGCACCCATTGACATAAAGTTGATTTTATATTATATTGTGCTTTCTTTTTGTGCATTTGTCTTTGTTTAATACACTTGGACCTATCTCTGTCTTGTGTACAGCTATGTTTTTTGGTTTTCTCATTTTCACAAGGCTCCCTCCTCTACATTTGAACAGTTTGAGCGAGGGAGGAATGATTTCTGGTTATCTAGCGAGTGTTCACGTTACAGTTTTGAATCCAGATTTTGGAGAATGTACACATTTTCCAACATTACAAGTTTTGGAGAATAACTAGAGCTGATGAACACGTGGTTGTCTCAAATCCAAAGTTGCCTGCATGAGCATTTAATTCATCAGATGAAAGTATGAGTTGTGCCATTGTGAAGCCTACATATACTTGTAGGCATTTATCTAGACATTTAACAAAGCTTACAAAACAATGATTGGGTGTTCCACATATATCTTCTTTTCTCCTGACTGCTGTTTTGTTTTGTACTTTATTTGTATTTTCTATAATTCCAGGAGGAGCAACAATGTTGGGAGTGGTACTTATTCTCATTCTGTCCAAGTCCATTGAGTTATAAAAAATAAAGTGGGTTTCTTTTACATAATAATTCATTCATTTTGTTTTTCATTTCCTAATAAAAAATATGTAAAACCAGCTGTGTTAGAGCATCCTAATGTGTTTGTTCCTTGTGCTACTATAATGTTGAAATAAGTGGAAAATTCTCATTACTTCTTAATCAGCAGAAAAAGAAAATAGTTGTTACGGTCACATTAAAAGGACTCCACTTGAAGGCTGAAAGACGTTCATATCAGTGTTTAATACACTCCTTAGAAATAATGGAAGACAATTATCTGCCAACAATGTACATTTTAGTTTCTAACATTTGTCAACATACTTCTTGGAAAAAAGTGCTCAATGGCAGCTCCAAGTTAAAGATCAAATGGACACAGCCAAACAAGTCATCATACTGTAAGTGCATGTTGTATTTACTTCTGGTTACATATTGTTGCCGTGACGATGTCTTGACCTTTAAAGTCGTGACTAAGAGGTTTTTTTTCTATCCTATTAACTAGAACACACTTCATTGTATACTACTGTTTGTAACATTCAACTATAATCAGTGCACTATTACATCATTATAATATAATGACGTCACGTGTAATTTGTCATCTAATGTTTCCAAAGTCAACAACAGTGAATTTCTAACTCATTGCAGGTCTGATTTGATCAAGGATTGAGGGGCCACTGTAGTTGTTCGTTGGAATGGCCTCCAGCTTTTTCATATACTCCACAGGTAGTCCGTTTTGCTCTGCACCTAGACACACCACCTTAATGATAAAGAGAAAGAAATGCAGTGAGGCTAACACGTTGATTTAGCCACAAAAACATTGGTTTGTGTTGTCTGTGGATCAGTGTCAACATGCTCACACCTCTTTGTACTGAGGAGAGGGAGGACTGGGATGGAAATTGTTCATCTGGTAAGTCCTGCAGAGCATCAGGCCTTTATCAGTCTCAACTGAAACCTCCAGTGGAGAGTACAGTCCCAGGCTCACCCCTTCTTGTCTGATGAAACATTAAGATGAAAGAGAATGTGTTGGTTAAAATGACAAACATTAACTCCTGAACTGGTTGACGGCTGGCTGTTTATGCTTTCTCACTTGTCTAAGGTTGTGATATGTTCATCGCTCAAAGTCCAGATAACCCCCCATACTTCGCTTCCAGGACGGGAGAGGATTGTTGCAACTCCTCCATGCCAAGAGTTCTTCGCATCTTGCGCCCACAGGCCAAAGTCCAGCTCATAGTCCTGAACACAAACAGGGGACAGTGAGTTATGGACAATAAGATATTGATATTGATGAAGCATTGTGTATTTCAAACAAAAATGTCTTTCATTTCACTGGGACGTAAAGAGTAGTGCTTTGTTTGTTTCAGCAATACCACAGTGAGTTTAGTTTTCTGTTAGATATCACAGCTGGAGGACACTCAGGCCCTGTTGTTGCAGGTGGCCATGAAAAGATGAGACTAAGCTGAATTCACGGCAGTCATTTTAAACCTTTGACAGCAAACTGGTATTCCTCTAGATCAGTGGTGTCCAAACTTTATTTCTTAGAAATGTTAGAATCGCTCGCGGGCCACAGGTTTTGTTTTTTAAAATATAGTTGGAAAAATAGTTAGGCTTTGTAGATCAGAATCAAAAGGCTCGCTAAAGAAACCCTTTAATAAAAGGAAATCCAATATTTTGATTTCTTCGTTCCACTTTATTTGTTTATTTTTCTTAGCCTGTAACGTGGTTCATTTTTTTGGGAAAAGCTTTCTGCATTTAGCTCAGGTCATTAAATGGTTAAACAACAGTCTGCTTGTTTGCAAAAACTTTGCATACGTTTTATTTCATAGTTTACAAAATATGGAAAATAGTAAAAGCTGTAAATAAAAAAAACCAAAAAAAAAACAACAACAACATACATGTTACTGAACATTTTCTATTTTAGGAATATTGTTCAGCCCTTGTTAACATGAAAAAAGAAAAATAAGATAATGCGCCAATCTTAATCAAGGCCTCAAAATCTTCTGATTCTTCATTTGAAGTCACGGGCCGCAAAAAATCCCCTCAAGGGCCGCAAATGGCCCTCGGGCCGCACTTTGGACACCCCTGCTCTAGAGGATTTATCTCATGGCACATTCACGATCATTAAGCGAGCTGTGCTGCGTTCAAGATGTGTTAGTACTATAGTATAGTACTCTTAACACTATTGTTCTTTAATATCTACAGTACATGCGGTTCTCTTTAAATAATGAATTAATGAATAAACGGAGAACTACTGACAGGTGCTTTATTTGTATATCTGACTTAATACAGTTGCTACAAAATAGAGCTATTGCACTAAACAGTAAGTTACCTTCAATCGAGCAGTGGTGAAAAATACCGCCGAGGGGTTAGCAAGCTGCAGTCTTTCCTTCAGCAGGTTGCTTCCAAAAGCGAAATACAGGAATAGACCCTTAGCAACAACAGACATCTTTTCCTTTGGTCAGTCCTGTCGGCTGGACGAGACATAAGAGCTAAAACTTAAATATTAACAGGGACGTCTGGTTACTGAAGGAGCTGCCCGAAAGCTTACCAGAGACTCTTACAGTGTTGTAGCTGCCTGCCTGGCACTTAAAGGGACAGTCAGTGTAATAAGCAAAGTCATAGTCAAAGAAGGCAGCACCGAAGCACAAGCCCATGACGTAACAAGTGACCCTGGAGTGAGGAAGTGACTGTGTGTGTGTGCGTGCGTGTGTGTGTGTGTGTGTGTGTGTGATAGATGTAAGATAAGAGGCGTCAGACTGGTTATGTTTACTGTGTGTGTGTGGCAAACTCTGTGGCCATACTGTCCATTATCAAGAATAATACAATCACAATGTCAAGATGTTGACTTAACATGTATAAAATGTTACATTACATTAAATAAAAGTTTTTACAAGATGTTTACTGGTCTTGTATTGCTTACTTTTACTAAGAGTGAATATAGCTGGCTTAACGTGTATGAACTGTGGTTTATAATTTAAAATAAACGTACCATAACTTTGGGAAATCAATATTCATAATTAATTAAATTAGGTTTAATAGCTAATCATTAGGGTCTCATCCGTCACGCCAGGGGCTTATGTTCTGTGGCTGCATCTCATGGAAGTACATGTTATCCTAAATCTAATCAATCAGCAAACTCTGTGGTCATACTGTCAGTGACGAACTAGAACCGTCCGTTATCAAGAATAATACAGTCACAATGTCAACATGTTGACTTAAACACACAGGTAGACTTCTGAAGCTTTAGATTCAGGTGGTTGAACTGCCTTTTGTCAGAAAATGTTCATATTATGTGAATGAGATAAAATGATAAAGCTGTAAAATACTCTTCACCTGCACACCCTTTGGGTCTGTCATCAAGACCCCTCAATCAAGGAAATATTCATTTCTCCATTTGTAAGCCTGAACATTTTTATAATCCAAGGTTTTGAACTTAAATCCTTTACATTGCCTATTTTAAGTTATTTAGATTTTATGAAATCAGAGGTTAACAAACTTTACCTGTTGGATCTGACTACTATTGAACTATCCTTCTAACAGGTTCAAATACAAAGAGTATATTAAGATTAAATGCTCTCCACGTGACCCTCCAACCTAGAGTCCACATGCACACACAATGCTGACAAACTGAAGCTTCAGTATTAAACCAGCTCTGCATCAGTCAGGAAAACTGTCTGCACCCTAACCCCCTCTCCATTTTTCAAAACCATCTCCAATATTTATCCTAGCATTACTGTTAGGTCTATGCTGTTGGGGCGTCCAAAACATGTTATGGTAAGGTTATTTCATGATTTATCTGAAATATTAGATCTTTAAGTATTGATTTAAAAAACATTTATTGGCGTGTAGACACAGTTCTGTGATTTTACTAACCGAGGCCCAAATGAGACTCAGGATCTAAAGATAAATGCTGAATGTCAGCTCTGTTAAATTTATTCTCAGTTTAGTGAATACATATTTCTGTGCAAAACACTTTATTTAAATCAGATTATGAAAACAATGTCAGGTTAACAAAATAATCCTTTTACTAAACTGGAAATAATGCAGAGTCAAACTTCTCCTCTTAAGGATTTTAATGTACAAAATGAGAAAAAAACAAAAAATACATGGAAATTCACAAAACGCTCCATCTGAAAAAAGAAAAAAAAAAAGATCCTGTACAAACAGTGGGGTTGAGGACGGCAGATGTTGGGCCTGATGATCATCTCCTTGGCCCGCCACGGCCTCGTCCTCTTCCTCTACCACGGCCTCGTCCTCTTCCACGCCCCCGTCCAGCCACTGAGAAGACAGAAGAGATGGAGTGAGAAACAGTAGCCAAACATTCACAGTCCAACCAGTTTAACCAGACACTCACATCAAGTGAGTGTCTAAAGTGCCTAAAACCAAAATCAAGACATTTACTGCAGCAATTTCACCTGATCCTATGACATATCCTGTACAACACACACCACCATCAACTATAATGGTTTGGTCAATCAGGAATAAAGTGTGTAGTATAGTTATCAATAATCACTGGTAACTAAGAGCATCCTTTAAATCATTAAAATGCACGAAGGAGCAACATTCATACAGTCTCCTTGTGTCAGCAGGTTGTGTCAGTGATTGTAGTGTTTTTATCTTTGTATGATGCTCTTTCAAATCTAGCTTACTCTCTGTTCCTCTAAAGTTTCCTACTGGTACATCAAGACTGTTGTCTGAATTCATGAAAAAAAAAAAGTACAAATACACAACTTTTGTATAGACCATAAAACCAACTCAATCTGCGAGTGACAACTTTTCTAGCAGTGCCATGAAGTTGTTGTTTTTGCCTCAATTCATCCTAATTATGTTTAAGTCAAATGTGACCCACAGTGGGTTAAAAACAAACCCTACCCTAACTAGTGTTTAGCAGATAGCTGATTAATAAACAGACACATCTGTGTCACACCTCATACTACACGACCAAACCCAAAAGACCACCTCCTAATCCTATAGAAACCTTTCATTAGGCTAGACTACACTAGCACAACTAATACCTTCCAATACCACAAGAGGAAAACACTTAGACTCAGTTATAGTTATCTGTAGTGAACCTGGATGGTTTTTAGGACATTTCTTACCTGCTTCCCTCTTCTTTGACTTGATCTTTGGCTCAATGTCCACCAGCAAAGTATCCAGCGGGAGGCTGTCCGGAAGAATGAAGTAGCGGATGTTGTTACCGCGGATACTCAGTGATTCCAGCTGAGTGGGCTCCCTGTTTTTCAGAGTCATTTTCACCGCTTTCAGGTGAGTGTTCATGCTCACATCGACACCTAAATGAGAACAGAAAGAAGAGGGGATACCGACTTGAACGCATGTCAACAAGTATTCTTATTCATAAATCTGAGAGGGAAATAACTGCAAAGACTCAGAAGTGTATCTCCATAAGATTTGAACTGACAACATTTTTAAACATTTCCCACTTTTGACCCAAAGCATTTTAAAAAAAAATATGTAAATATAGGCAATTTTAAAAAACAAAACAACGTTCCAGTATTGCATCGTAGTGTTGATCGGGAAAACTGAATTAAAAAGTAGTGACAGAGGGCCCACAAACTGTGTGGCAGCACACTGAAGAGTAAACAGATCAGCCCCTGAACATTGTGTCTTCAGACACAAGAAAGGACATGAAGGTAACACAAGCATTAAAAAATATATATTGTGGAAATGTATTTATAGAGCAAATAAAATTCTCATCTCAACAATTATTTCATAGAGTTAAGACGGCGTACTTTAATATTTCACAAGTACATTAGATAAAGGTCTATAGTGCTTCAATCAGTCTGTGTAGTAAAATGGTCAATGATTCGCAGTAAAGGCTGCCACAGCTACGTTTATTATTTACATTTTATTATCTTTTTCTTATTTATTTTAATTTTTTTATTATTTGCGTTTTATTTTCATGTACTGCAGGTCAAAAATGATCACAATGATCAATGAAAGTGTAACACTTGAATGCATCAGCAGTGTAGGATGGTTCACGACTTTTATCATTCCACCACAGAAATTGGTCTAAATGTACTTTGTTTAGAAACTGAAAAAAACACAGTCCTGACATAGAGAAGGACAACATACTTTAACACCACCAAAAATCTGCTAAAAGCTGACTTGAATTGATATTTCTTTATGCAATTCAAGTAATGGAGCAGTTTTACCTCAACGAAGGTAAAATATGTATAAACAATGATCTGCTCATTTATTGTTTATAGAGTTTCATCCGGGGCGTTCGGATTAAATTATACTTTACTATGAGTCTAGTCACTTTAACTTGGAATAAAACAAATCAGTATTTTAATAAATATTAAACACACAGCAGATAACACTCACCTGTGATGGTGCCGTGGACCTGGGTGCCATTCTTCAGTTCAATGGTCACAGTCTCATGGCTGAGTTTCATCAAAAATCTGTAAGAGTTAATGAATAAGATTATTAATACGAGCACACAACATTCTCCTAAGTATACGAGCATTATTTCACCATTAATCATTATTAAATGATTAATAATTAACCATTATCCACAAACACTCAAACAAGTCTTCAGTTAGCCGTGTAGCTAACGAGAGCTACCGACTGAAGCTTTCAGCACATACACAAAAAAGTTACTTAAAGAAAGGAAGTTCAAAATACGATTTTCCCATCTTTCAAACATCTGAGGGAGAGGTTACTTAAGGACTAATATATATATCTACAGTTTGGTTAAATGGTGTTGTTAATAAGTAAACTGAGCAGACACTAACAAACAGAGGGCCTTCATGAAAGAGATCATTCACGACGGTACACAAGAAAACAATGCAGACATTACAAGCTGCCTTTCTTTACAGCCAAATAAAAACCCTGGATAATAAAGCGACGACTGCAGCAGAGTATGTGCTTATCGGGGTTATTTCAGAGCCTTGTACTCAGTTTTTTGTTTTGTTGCAGAGGTTCATTCATTTCATTCATCGCTTCCCGCCTCCGAAACGTCACCCCGTTTACATCTGTATTCATCCACAAGATTAACAATGTTTTCATCATTTCACATCACAGCACTCGATAAACGGCGACTTCTCACGTCAACTCACCTGACTAGTTTCATGATGGTGATGGATTATAGAGACAAATCCTCCACCGAAGAGAAAAATTACAGCGCGCAAGTGGAAACACAGGCCGCTGTTGTACGATGTACGTTTTTAGTCGCGCGGATACGACGTCATCTAATGAGCGCCGGAGAAGAAAACACGTTACTCACTACAACAGTGCCCCCTAATGGTGGAGTAGTATCTTTAATCTTCTGGGTACGATAAGGTGCGTTTGTCTGGCGTGTTTTTATTATACGTATGTAATTCACAGTGTGCGTGCCTGAAAGGTTCAGGGGCTTAACTACAATTTAAAATTATATTCAGTGTTTTAAAAGGTACACCTACACACACTTCTGCCTGAAATAGAATGCACCACTGAAACTTTTGGTTTGGTAAAGTAAAGTAAAGTAAGTAAAATAAAGTAAAGTAAAGTAAAGTAAAATAAAGTAAATTAAAATAAAGTAAAGTAAAAATAAAATAAAACAAAACAAAATTAAATTAAATAAGATAAAATAAAATAAAAATTCTGCTGGAAATATAGTTATATCTATATTCCGTTACCCCGGGGAGGTATACTTCACACGCTCTTTCTATGTATCTAGTGAAGTCAAAGTGTTCAGGTCGTAAGTTTTACATTCATATACAAATATACTTAAAATAAAAATAAAATAAAAATTCTGCTGGAAATATAGTTATATCCATATTCCGTTAGGTATACTTCACACGCTCTTTCTATGTATCTAGTGAAGTCAAAGTGTTCAGGTCGTAAGTTTTACTTCATATACAAAATATACTTCAAAAAGGACATCAAATGTTCTGTTTGCTGGTAGTGTTGTAGTTTTCACTGTTTGACAGTAGATGGTACTACAGAGTTGATATGGTGAGTATTTTACCACCCTGGTGTTGATTGGTACAGTGGACCTTTGAATAGTCCTGTCAGGACTGTCATTCAGCACAGGCATGTTATGGGTAGTTTTCAAAAGGACAAGTTTTGGATGATCCAAAATAAGAATTTGTCTTACTAGTTGTACTTTTTTAATGCATGATGTTTGAAGTATGAAGTTTACTTGATATAGATATGGATGGCTTTTTGTTGTGCATTGTTGTTTCAATTCCTTTAGTGAGAGGGATTTCTCTCACTAGCACTCCAAGAAAAACTCTTAGTGACACACTTTTAGCTCTTTTTATTGAGAGTAAACTTTGCACTGAGACTTCCATTTACAGTTTTGGCCACACATCAAACCTCCTTTATGGACCCACCGGGAATGTATCAAGTATAATCTATGAGAGTGCAATTTCATTCTTTTGAGTTCTGTAGTGGTTGGCTGAGGGTTAGTTAAAGTATAAACATTAAATATGGAGTACAAAATGGCAGACCATAAATTAAAATCAAAATCAAGAAAACAAAGAAAATAATACTCATAATAATAAAAGTCTCACTCATCAGTTCTCCCCATCTTGTCTGACACCATTTGATCAATTTAACAAATTAAAAGCATGTCTGTGCAAATGAAAGAAACCCACAGAGTAAGAGCGTTCAGTGTTTGTCCTGATTCAACCATGCAACCAAAAATAAAAGTGAGTAGTCCTGTTGACCTTCATTCCTTAGGGAACAAAGTCTAAAAATGTTAAGGGCGTCACTGGCGGCCCTCACACATCAGAAGGCGATGCGTTATGAAATGTCTTCATCAGCACCTTTAGGCTGTCCAGCACCTTCACAGTTTAATGTTCAATAGAGAGAAGTGGTGTTCTTTTAGGGTGTTCAAAGTCAGGATCACTTCATTTGAGCACATTTCATTAAACCTGCAACTAAATCTGTCAATAATCAGTTTCTGATTGCATATCACGTTCTGTATAATTGGATACTTCTGCAAAGTAGAGGGAGACGTTTCAACAAATTCAGAGTTTGCTTTAGAAAAGGATTTCTTGACATTTGTTTGGCCTTGATGAAAGTATGATTCATTGTAATGATCATGTCAGTGTCCAAAGCAGCACGTCATATCTAAAACACAGCAGGCAGAGTCTTCTCTCTTGTAAACATTACAGTTGGGCAATAATGTTTGGCTTCACTACAATCAAGATAAAAAAAGAAAGAATCAAAGGCCAACTGCGCTACACTTTTGTACAAAGTTGTTTCTGATTAAACCGGAAAGTCAAGGAGTAAAAAAAAAAAAAAATCATTAATTAATTCTTTCATGTGGCTTCGAAGCTGTTTTTTTGGATTCAGTTAAACGGCCTAAACATCTTGGTACCAGGAAAAGTAAGATAACACTGGGGTGTAGACGGAAACAATTCTAATGTGCAGCTAAAACCTGTGTTGTGTTTCGCAGTGTGTTCTCCATCAGCTTTCAAAAACAACTATAAGGTTAAAAGGAATGACACTAACAAATACCAACAAATAAACAAATACAAACAAAAAAGGCACACAGACCAAACAGTGCTGGTCTCAACTTGAAGACATTTCCATCAGAAGGAATAAAGAAAAAGGATAAATTACAGTTCAAACAAGCCTGACCCAGCTCCCATTCATCACCAGCACGCTGCACCATCCATCAGTAGTGGAAAAGATGCGAATGAAACAAACGACTACAGCAGGAGTGATTTTGCTTTGGCTGAGTTTGAATGTGCAAAGAGACAAACATTAAAAATCAGTCCTTAGAATACAGTAACCTCCTGTTCTTAGTTTCACTTGTTTCTAAGCAGACTGCTCTCTGAATGAATGTAATAAAGGTTTAACTTTTTCTCCAACACTACCTTTTGAGTCTGTTTCACAAATGAGCTCTGGAAGAGGGACAAAAAGGAAATGGGATGTCAAAGTGTTGCAATGCTCTGAGTGTCTGTTACTTTGACTTCTGGGTCAATGCTGCATGCTTTCCAGCATTACACTAACTTAACTGGATTTTAAACTTACTCTTGATGGAAGTATTAAAGTTTAATAGTAAAGTGATGCAGTTAAGTATAATCATAAACAGCATTTGCATGAATGGAAGATTTACTGTGGTCATTATTTTTTTTAGTGACAGCATAATTCATTTTTAGTTCTTTCATCTGACAAAAATGGATCGAAAATGTGTTCTAAAAAATAAATATCTTCCGAGTTTGATTTTAATTTACTGCCTTGGGCAAATCGATATGTGTTAAGAAGATTGTTCAAGATTTATTACTTAAGTTAAATTAATTAATATTAATACATGTTTTTCAGCCTTTACTCATACTTAACATACTTTCAACACCTACTTCTGCCACAAAATTGCACATTCTTGGAGGAAATGACCACCGATCTTTTTTTTTTTTTTTAAAGAGAATTAAAGATGACTAGCATTGTGTTTTCCGATACATCATTGCAACAACTCCAGTAATTAACTTGGTTTTGTGATACTTTTTCATTCATGGATGGATTAAGCTGTTTTCATTGTGTTTTCTCAGAGCAGATTTTAAGGCTTTGTTGTTGAAATGATCGTTTGTATTAAGAGTTTTAAACGTTAAATCGCTCATTGTGTAAACTGAGCCAAAGCATCTGTGAAATACATCAATATGGATGAAAGCTGACCTCTTATTAAATACATTTATTTTAAGGAAGAGAAGAAGGGTGATGTGGTGAGTGGGAAAACAACAAGCACCAATGACGATGAAATGTCTTTGAGCAATACACTCACTTCCCACTGACTCTAAAGGTGCAGCCTTTGACCTCTCTGTTCAATACCATTTCTCCTCTGTGAGGTGTAACAAGAGAAAAATAACTGTCATAGGTATGTTGTTCTAGCAGTGACAGGTGCTTTCTTGCCTACCAAAAGGAAAGATCAGTAGTGTGTTTGCTCCCAAACAAAGCAGGCACAGTGTGCGAGAAGGTCTAAAAAGGAATCAGGCCCTCTGATTGTACAGTACGCTAAACCAGCTCCGAGGTTACAGTTATCATCGTGTTCGGCTCTGGGAGCTTTGAACAGGCTCACGGTTGGGTCAGTTTGTTGTGGCAAAAAGGAGGCAAGTTTGGCTTTCAGCATGATCAGCACCAAAACTTCACCCTGGATGAAATGTAGAAGACAAACACAAGAGGAGGCGGAGTAATAAATAAAAAAAATAAGAAAAGAAAAACATGAGCAGCACTTTGAGTTATGATATCAGTAGCTTACCATTGATGTACTCTGTTTTAAACACTCAGTTGTTTCAAAGAATAGTTTGTCTGCTTTCTTTATCGCAGACAAAAAGCACTTTAAAAAATGCGTATGACATCATCTTTACTGGACAAAGCCGCAGGTCTTTAAGTCCTCTCTAGATACAGTATAATACACACAGTAAACACTCAATTGCCAGAGACACACAGCTTCCATTGAGGCATCAACATTAAATTTTCCATCAGTGCTCCTCACTAGTTTTTCCACCTTTTGTTTGTTTCCTCTTTTGCTTTCATCTCTCTCTCTCTCTCTCTCTCTCTCTCTCTCTCTCTCTCTCTCTCTGTACTTGCTCAACCATCTCTCTCCATGTCGTCGCTTTGTTGCCGTCACACCAGGTGTACTTGCTCCTCCCATTCCTCAGGTGATTGATCCTCTTCTAGCTGAAGGATGAGGTCTAAGTCTCTCTCTGTGGGCGGGGCAGCATTTGTGGGACTGTTTCCGTGTTGGGGGTGTGGGCACGGGTGTGTGTGCACTTCGTCCAGCGACATGTCAGCCACACACCCTGCGCCCGCACCCTCCTCGCCAGCCTCCCTGTTTTCAAGATCAAGAGTGCTCGGCCTTGATGTCTTCAGGTTCTCTGTGCCCGAAGCACCATGATGGGGGCTCGCTGGCCCCCTCTCCCCTTCTGGCTCACCCTCCAGGGGCTGCCAAACTGGGGCCGGGGTCGGTTCCCTGGAGGTCTGGCTTGCAGTCTCAGTTTCTGTGTGTGTGTCGGGGGAGGAGTCTGTTTCTGTAGTGGGAGGGGAGGGGATGAGGGCGAGGCTCTGCGGGTTGTTCTGGGGGTTGATGTTGTTGTTGAACCAGGCCATGATGTTGTCCAGCAGCTGGGCACTGGCGGTGGGGTCCAGGGCCTCTAGACTCTGAGGGTCGCTGGGGGTGAAAGGGCCCCCTGGTGGTATCACCGGGGAAAGCAGCAGCTCCGGATCGAGCTCTGGAGACGGGAGGCACAACTGGGCAGGGGGCTG